CCCACCCTCCCAGCCAGGAATTCCTTCCCAGTATTCCACCTAAAGCCACTTTGATTTGAAGATGCCCAAAGGACACAGCCAGAGTGTGACTGTCCCTCCAGAGGGCACAGAGTGACTTCAAAACAAAGGTCAGGTGTGTTTCCATGGAGTGACAATGCAAGGAAAACATGGGAATAAAAACTGTGATTTCCAGGAGTTTATAAAGGTTGTGTTTTTCAGGATTCCCAGAGAAGCTGTGGATTCCATATCTCTGGAAGTGTCCAAGGCCAGGTTGGAGCAACCTGGGCTAGTGGAAGGTGTCCCTGCCCATGGCAGGGGGTGGCACTGGATGAGGTTTAATGTTCCTTCCAACCCAACCCATTCCATGATAAATTATGGCCTTTAGGACTTAATATTCTCATAGAAACAGCATTTTTAGGAGCCCTTTGGGGCTGTTGTGAGGCCCAGCCCTTACCCAGGGAGTCCTTGAGGACGTGGGTGAGTTTGCTCTGCCGGAAGGGAATGTGGTCCCTCCAGGGATCAGCCAGGGCCAGGATGATTTGCTCAAGGAACGTCAGGGACCTGTTGATGTAGGAGTTCTCTTTCTGGATGTGTCCTGCAAACTGCAAGGGAGATCAAAAGGGGAACTTTCCATAACATGTTTCTGGCCAAACAGCAGGAAAAAGCAGAGAAAAAACCTCCGAGGGTCAGGAGTTGATTCAGACCCAACAAATTCATGATCTGGAGCTTTCTCCAGTTTGAAAACAAGTTTGCAGAGACCTCAGTTTTTCATTACAAGTCTACAAGGACTTGGATTTCCTTCCCAAAGGATGTGTTTGTCACGGGGCTGGCGCAATTTAAATTCTGATCAATACAGAATGTTATGGAATCAGGGAATTGCTGAGGGTTGGAAAAGGCCTCTGAGACTGAGACCAACCAAGCACTGCCAAGGCCACCACTGACCATGTCCCCAAATGCCACATCCACAGGGCTTTGAAATCCCTCCAGGGATGGGGACTCCACCCCTGCCCTGGGCAGCTGTGCCAGGGCTGGGCAGCCCTTCCCAGGAGGAAGTTTCCCTGGGAGCAGAGCCTGACCCCCCCGGCTCCCCCCTCCTGTCAGGGGGTTGCAGAGCCAGAAGGTCCCCCCTGAGCCTCCTTTTCTCCAGGCTGAGCCCCCCCAGCTCCCTCAGCTGCTCCTGCTGCTCCAGCCCCTTCCCCAGTTCCCTTCCCTTCCCTGGACACGCTCCAGCCCCTCCATGTCTTGTCCTGAGGGGCCCAAAACACGTGGGATCCGAGGGGTTCCCAGCACTCACCGGGATCTCACTCAGTCTCTCAGAACCTGCCAGGTCTATCAAGGTGATTTTAGATTTAATGCCTTTGAGATTCCTGTAAACCCTGGAATGACACTGAGGGAGAACAGAAAATAAACTGCACTTGAACTGAAACACAGTAAAAAAAAACCAGACTGCAAAGGTCCTCCTTGAATCTCTAAAAAGCTGTTTGAAACATCTCTGGAGCTCTCACCTCAATATAAATAGTAAAGATGCAGTGGGATCTGGAGGAATTCTTATTCAGGGCGTGCTCTGCTATTGCTCTGTTGGTCCCACCCTGCAAATGGAGACAAAATTCAAGGCTCAGCTCATGGGATTGTGGCTTTTTGAGGAACAGTCAGGGAACATCTCCCTGGATCTTTCAGCTTCCCGCAGAAGAGCAGCTTTCCCTTCTCCAGGTGAACAACCCCAGCAATCCCAGCCTTCATCAGCATCCTTCTGCTCTTTAAAAAGGGATTTCCAGCACATTCCAGAGCTCAGGACACCACAGGTCCATCATTAAAAAGGCCAGAGGAAGGTTTTAAAGACACCAGATGGCTCTGGGTGAGAACACACTTCCTGCTTCCAGATCCAACCATTTATTCCTGTTCTCCTCATGAACTGAAGGAGCCACAAGGAAAAGATGCTGATCTAAGCAATCAGACTCCCCTCACAAATCCAACCCATTGTGTGAACAGTCCTGCTGTAAAATCTAACCATGATCACCCCAACCTATCTGCCAAAGACCCTTTTCTTGGAGCATCTCCCAGAATCCCTGTGCCAGGGACATTTTCCTTGGGAGAACAAGGGCTGCAAAGATGTTCCACCCACAATAAAGAGAACAAAGAGTGTTGGCTGACCAACCCTCCTGGCCACACACCTCCTGCTTTCCTGCCTCCCCCCTCAGCCAACAAAATAATACAGAGAATAAAGGGAATATTTGGGTTCTCTTGCCTCAGAAAGGAGATTTAGGGCCTCCTTCTCGTGGCTGACAGGATGGATGGACAGACCCTTGACACAAACCCCCTGAGGGGAATCCAGGACAGCCAGGGGGGTGTTCCTGGAACCACGGCCCAGCCCCGGGCCCAGGAGGTCAAACAGGGCCTCGTTGTAGACTTCCAGGTAGGAAATTAGGACAGTGATGGAGAGGCCAGGGGATTCTTTAGCTGCTTGGAAGACCTGCACAATGACACAGAGTTTGTCTCTGTTCACAGACAGGATTTTTAGCTATTTATGGCTTCCCAGAGAAGATACTTCTATGTAGATGTTTATGTAAGATATAAACAGATATAAGATTAAAATAGATATGATTAAAATAGATATGATTAAAATAGATATGACAGAAATAGATATAAGATATTAAGCTATATATAAGCTATACATTTATCTAAGATATGTAGAGATATGTATATAGAGATATTTCTGAACAGCTCCAAGTACTTTTGGGTGTGTGGAGTTAAATCTGAGCTGTGGTTGCCTGAGGGCTTGACTTGGATTTGGATTCAATGATCTTATGGAATCAGAGAATCCTGGAATGCTGTAGGCTGGAAAGGACTTTAAGGATCACCCAGTGCCACCCCCTGCCATGGGCAGGGACACCTTCCACTAGCCCAGGTTGCTCCAACCTGGCCTTGGACACTTCCAGGGATCCAGGGGCAGCCACAGCTTCTCTGGGCAATCTGGGCCAGGGCCTTAGAGGCATTTTCCAATGTTAATGGTTTTATGATCAGTTTTAACAGGATATCACAAAATGGTAGCTTGGAAAACACCCCTTTGGAAGGCTTGGTGACCTTTGGGGAGCAGCACGAATTTTCCACGAGCAGGTAGAACTAAACCTCTGTGAATGACAGCCAAGCTGCTTTATTTCTTTAACCCTCATCCCTTAGGTGAAATGAAGGGGGGAAAAAAGACATAAATCATATTCACTGTGTTAAAACACTTTTATATCAGCGAGAGCAGATACAAGAGGTGTCCCTGGTATTCCTCCCAGCCCCTCTTCCCAGACCCAGTACCTGCTGGATAGCTCTGGGGATGATCCCTCGGTGCTCGTACTTAGCTGCTCCAGTCATGGTGTAAGTTTTACCAGCCCCAGTTTGCCCATAACACATGATGGTGCCTGGAAAATCCCAAACCAAAAGGATAAACTCGGGGGGGGGGAGCCTCAAACAGAACAGCCAATGGATCTGTCCTCAAACCAAACCCCTATTTATTGTCAAAATTACAAAAATAGCAATAAATCACCATTGTAGCCACGTAAAGCTGCAGCCACCAAGTCCCTGGCCACAGTCTCATAAACCTTGTCCTGGGAGGTGTTGTGGAGGAGCCCATCCATCCTGAAGGACCAGTCAGTGGAGGAGTTGTTCACAATCCCTCCCCTGGCATCTTTTTCGATGTGGATGTCGATGCTCTGCAACCCAAAAAGAGAGGGAGACCAATTCAACAGCCATGAGGAGCTCCAGGGATTGGGGACCTGCAATTAAGTAGGAAAGGGAGCACAAACACCAGGATTATTTCACTCCCTTGGATGGTTATGGATGTGCTAAAAATATCTGGTAATACTCTCAAATTTCTGGGGGTAATTATTCTAAATAAAGAAGAAATGTGGTTAAGCTCAACTGTTTAAATTTCAATTATTTTGTGTCTCAGGGAAATTCTGAATTAAGCACGAGAAGGTGAAGGGAGGAACTTGCACAAGGGGGGATAGAAATACTGTGCCAAGCTGTGGTTCCCACTGGGAATTCCTCCTGGATCAGTCAGTCCTGGTGATTGTACCACCAGAAGTGTGTTTTCCATAGTCAACACCACTGTCAGGCAGGAACACGGGAACCAACACGCCCCAAAACGTTATCCATGGCCTTAAGGGATGGGAAAATCCTGCCTTTTCCATGGGCAAAGCTGAAAGCAAACTCCAAACCTTTCCCACTTGGGAATTTCTTTCACTCTACCTTGTTGTCTGTCCCAAACTTGATCATGTCTTGGGCAAAATGAGCCGTGGGCTTGACTCGCACAAAGGCCTGGATTGGCTTTATGGGTCTAAACAGAGAGGGAAAAGCCAGGAAAATAAGGATGTTGCAATCCCTAAAATGACATTTATATCAGTTGTCGGGAAAAGGAGAACTCCAGAGCAGTCAAATTTAAAAATTAAGTGTTGGTAAAGGTTCAGCTGCAGTTTTTATTCTTTATTAAAAGCAACTGTGGGCAAAGAGCTGCTGGAAATCCTTTCCAGCCTTGTCCTGCTTGGAAAACTGAAAAGAGGAGGGTCTTAATGATCCTGATTTCCTCCTGTGTACCAGGCACAGGAGTGTTCAGTAACACAAGTTTTCTTCCTCTCAGGCTTGCAAAGGGAAATATTTGCAGGAATAGGAGGGGGATTTTCTTTTGTTTGATTTTCTTTTTTTTAAAATATTTTAAATTCCAAAAAAAATACCCAAACTTCAGTTTCCTGGAGCAAATATCCAGTGAGGCTGGAGGATCTGCTGAGTAAAACCCACCTGAGGAGGGCTCAGGGATCATCCAGCTGCTAAAGCTGCACCTGAGACACATGAACTGAATGTTTGGGAATCCCTGGAAGGTGTAGATCCCATATTTTCCCCTCAATTATTTCCTCCAGACAGCCTGTGCTCAGTAATTATGTAATAGTTAGTGATAACCTACAGTTTGGGACAAAATCTTTTGAATTTCTTGTATATTCAGGATTTCTGGGATCTCTCCACCATTTTACCTGCTCTGAAATGAAATGTGGAGGTTGGAGCTGAACCAAGACTTGTTGGATTTAAAACCTTTGGGGGATACCTGAAAGAGTCACTATCAGGGAACAGAGAGAAATTGCTGTTCCCCTCCTCCTCCTCCTCCTCCTCCTCCTCCTCCTCCTCTTCCTCCTCCTCCCTCTCCTGGGCCTGGGATCTCCTGGAGATTGCAGAAGCCTGTCCAAAAAAAAAAAAACCAAAACCCAGTGTTGGAGTAGCTGGGAATTATTTCTTCAAAGCAAGAAGTAAAGCAGGGGAAAGGAGGCAGGGAAAATCCTGGGGAAGAATTCTCCTATGAATCAGAGAGAACAAATTCCAAACGAGTGGAATTTTCCTCGCTGCAACAATGCCTGTTGCTGGATGTGAGGATAAAAGCAACGATTCCTGGGAGTGTTTATAAACACCAGGAGATGGGAAGCAACAGGTTGCCCAGAGAAATTGTGGCTGCCCCACCCCTGGAAGTGTCCAAGGCCAGGTTGGATGGGGCTTGGAGCAACCTGGGCTAGTGGATGTGCTTTCAGGTCCCTTCCAACCCAAACCATTCCAGGATTCCAAGTGGGCCCAGCTGGGATTACCCTTGAATTAGTCTTTGTTTTGGAGGGAGAACCTCGTCGCTCTTCTGACCCCTGAACCTTCTTCTGCTTCTCTTCCTCCTGCCAGAGAAAAACAGACCCCATTCCATGTGAAAAACACACCTGGAGACCCGGAAAAACCGATCCCTTTTGCCACACTGAACATGGATTCAGCCATCTCTCCAAGGCTTTGGAATTGAGAAGTTCCCCTTCCAACAGCTCAGGTGGGCAGGACTTTGGGCAAAATCCATCTCCAAGAGTTGGGAATTGCCCAGAGAAGCTGTGGCTGCCCCATCCCTGGAATGTCCAAGGCCAGGTTGGAGCAAGCTGGGCTAGTGGAAGGTGTCCTTGCCCCTGGCAGGGGGTTGGAATTAGATGATCCTTTAGGTCTTTTCCAGCCCAAACCAGCCTGGAATTCTGTG